GCAGATCTGCGGGAGTTTACGGGGACGAAAATCTCACTTTTGTTGCATGGATGAAATTATAGAAACACAATAAAGAAATCTCTCTATGGTGGACGTGTTTCTGTTGGGAGGAGTTTATTGAGTCATGAGGAACCAAGCAGGAACTGACATCAGAGCTGTGCTCTGTAACCCCGAAATCCCACATCCTCCGTCACAATCGTTCCTTGGTGTGATTTATAGTTTTAGGATTTAGGGAAAAAATAGAAGAAAGTTCCCATCCCTGCATCAAAGTGTGGCCTGTTTGATCTGTGGATGGTTTTCCATCCTTGCAACAAAACTAGCAGCAGTAGGAGAGTTTGGAAATGCAATCCACTTCTTAAATCTATCTATCTTCTCTAATTTATCCTGCAATCGCACTTTTTCTCTCACTCCCAGCTTGGTGGTGGGCAGCAGATTTAGCCTTCCCTGGAAATGCCTTTCCAAATTTTTCTTTTAATTTTTTGACAACCTCTCATTACAAAGCAAAAATGCAGGCAATCGTTCAGCATTGATAATGAAAGCAAATGAGTCGGTCTATTTGAATCCTTTTTTCTCCTCAGCAATCTTCCTTTTTTTCCCTTTGGGATTCATATTCCGAGACTCACCTGCAGCTTTGTTTGCCTGGCACCGTGCCACGCTGGTTCCAAGTTATGATCACTGATCTCTATGGCTATGACGCAAATTATTGTTTAAATCTATTTATAATACAAATGTTTAAAGCATTGGAAAACATACATTTTTGTTTGCAACTGAACCTGCACACCATATTAAAAAAAAAAAAAAATCGGTTTTCGTAAATTTTTGAAAAAGCTCCAGGGAGTCACAAGGGGGATGCTAAAGAGCCGCATGCGGCTCCAGAGCCGCAGGTTTCAGACCCCTGGGCTAGTGGATCCAAACTAGATTGCACAATTTGGCACATTAGAAATTAGAGATTAGAAGGCGCTGGTGACACCAAATGTTCAAAGCTCCACATCTCTGCAACAGTTGTAGCTAGAGGTCTGAAATTCTCTGCATTTGTGGTTGACATGATGTAGAACAAATGTAATAAAATGAGACAGGGCGTTTCTCAAGCATGTCTTTATCACAATAAAAAAACAACTTTGAGTCATTTTTGAACTGATGCAGCTTGGTCTGTGTTCTACTCACCCAATTTCCATCATATATTCAGAAACTAAAAGGTGTTGGCTTTCAAATAATGTATTGCACGTGTAATTTGGGCTTAAAGTTCCTAAGTTATTTGCTTTTCCATTTGG